AAAGAGTTGACGTTAGTTCTTGAGAGAAAGAGCACAAAGATTTCTGGTTCAGGAACAATATCCTTTAATTAAATTCATGTTGCCAGTTGAAGACTAGGGGAGTGTGGATATCTAATGAAATTATTTTATTACAACCCAGACTTTAATTATATGCCTAAAGAGGATTTGTCAGATCTGAGTTGTTAACAGTCCACCGCTGTGACTTTGTCTCCCTCCAAGTCATGAGCACCAGCCTGCTTCCATGCCTTCTTGTTTCCAAGTATATACAGGGTAGTCAGTGCTTTAAAAACCAATGCTACTTGTCCTTTTAGCTACCTGTTCTTTTGACACAGTTCTCATTTAACCCCTGGCAGTTTTGCCATATTAAAGGCTTACTGGTAAGGGGGACCCTCTTTTGTTTCTGGGGCTGATAATTCATGGAATCATAGAATGTTAAGGAATTGGAGTGGACCTTATAGATCATCTAGTTCCAACTCCTCTTGCCATGAGCAGGGACAGCTCCCACTAGACCAGGTTGCTCGAGGTTATATCCAACCTGGCTTTGAGCACTGCCAGCATCAGGGCAACCACCTGGGCAACCTGTGCCAGTGTCTCACCATCCTCACCTCCAGTGAAAAACCTTTTCCTGATATCTCATGTAAATTTCTCTTCTTTCAATTTATACCCATTAACCCTTGCCCTATCACTGCAGTTCCTAACAAAAATTCTGGTTTTTTGTGGGTTTTCTCTTATCTAAGTGGGAGAAGACAGCAATGCAATTACACCTTTAGTTCAGAGAGGTTCTGAAGCAGGTTACAAAACCATTTTGACTCAGCCAGATGAGCAATTCCTATCCTAGCTGTGTAAGCCAGCTGGCATTTATTTGTTTCTTCTAGCCAGTAGTGCCTGGAGTGAAGTGCTGTGTTAAACGCCAGCTCTGAATGTTGGCTGGATGGAGCTTCAATTGATAAATTTGGGTTACACTGCAAATTTCCCTTTGCAATCCATAGTGGATGCAGCACACTGCTGCTCAGAGTGCTTAGCAGCCAGGCAAGTCAGGAGATGTGTAACAGAGAGAAGAATGCAGTAATGCCATGAGCTGTTTGAGCATCACTGCCTTGTCCTGGCTCTGCTGAGAAGTGGTGAGGTCCCAGCAGCACCTGGACCTCTTCCTCTGGCTGGTACAGCAGAGAGCAGGACCTTTTGAAGAATGGGGTCTGAGTGCTGCTGCTCAGGATCCTGGGGTGGCTGTAGAGAGATGGCAGAATTGCTCTCATTGTTGCCCAGCGAGACACTCATTTGTCCTGGTGACCTTAATAAAATGAAATGCTGGTCTGACACAGAACCAGACCTATGCCCATTTGCAAAAGGCAAGCTCAGATTCAAGTCACACAGCACTTTGAGGTGTTTGCACCTGGTTTTCCATGAGTCTAGAAACTGGGTGTAGATTATGAAACATGTCACTTTTTTTGACTTTTGAAATAGACCAAGAGAGTTATGGTTTAATTTAAGGTGGGATGATTTTCCCAGTTCAATTTTAGCCAAAAAAGCATCCAATTGAGACAGTTGCACCAGGAACAAATGCACAGACTTCACCTTTGTATTTGTGTCCTCTGAGCAGAAAAGCAGCACCTCTCTGACAGGGACAGCAGATAGGTTCCATGGCCAGTTGAAATAGTTGCTGTTCCTCCACTATTTTGAGGGGCCTTGAGCTGCTGCTGTGTCTGCACAGCCTCTCTGTGGTGGCCGAAGCAGCACTGCTCCTTTGATGAGCAGATCACAGTGGTGGCTTTACACAGAGAAAAGTGGAAACATACTATAATTTTGGGCTTCACTGAAGCATTAAGAATGTGATGGCATTACAGGTGCCTCCAGTTCTTGAGCAGTCAGGTCCCACCTGGCTCCACATTTTGAGTGTAAAAGACATGGGCTGTGTCTGCCGAGAGGGTTGAACAGTGGAAATAACAGTGATGGCTCCCTGCCCCTCCGGAAGCACTATCACTGCCTCCATGTGTGCCCCGGCCCAGCAGAGGTGATGGAGAGGGAGATGTGTGCCTTGTGCTCGGCTGACAATATGGTTTGGGGAGGAATTGGCTTGTGAAGCCAAGATCAAGGAGTATTGGCAAATGCCATCACATTCCGAAGGGCTGCATCCTGCCATACGGCGCCCAGACCTCCAGTCTGAAAAGTTTCAGGGGCCAAATTTCAGACTCAGGTTGTTTGAATTAGTCTGAAATTTAGTGGGAAGCTTTCTCACATCCTGATTGGGAAGGATAACCTTTGGAGTGTAGGAATCTTGAAAAGAAATCACATAGCTTTTGTGGGCGTGACAAACTAGATGTCAGTCTTGGAGAGGCTCATCAGTGGTAACTCAGCTAAGCATTCTTTAATGGTTTCTTGTGCTTCTTAATGATGTAGATATCATTTGGCTGGAAATTTTATTTTAAAAGCATGCATACAATAAAAGTGGGAGCTGTAGGTAGAGTGTAACAGAAACATATGGCATCACATGCCAGATAACACCTTCAGAAGTGTAAAAGGTGTTAAGTTCAAACTGCAGAAGAATGTCAAAGACAAAATGCCATATATCTCCATAGTAAAAGTCACTACTTATTCTTTCTGTGCTGGAAGTTAAAAGTAATGTACAATAAAATAGAGAGCTTGCCAGCCGTGGCATCTGGTGCTCATATATGGGTTTGTTCACCGAGTTTCCTTGATGAACTTGGTCTTCAATGTGGAAACTATGAAATACAGCATTTTGGAGTATGTTTGTGCCATTCATATTTCTCTAAAATCTCACTCAATCTGTACACAATCCTTCTGCACACTGTATCCACATTAGAAGACAGGATATGATAATCCAAAATTTTTGTCTAAATTGATTTGTGGAAAGAGTAAAGGGTGCATAAACATTAGCTGTTTCATTATAGCACTTGGAAATTTACAATACAATTTATTCCAGCAGACGAAACACATTTGTACATAAAACTTCAGAGAAGTTTCCTCTCATATGCGATCAATGTGTATTTCAGCTTCTTGCAGATCTGAAATGATCCTGCCTATTTCAGAATGTGCTGTTGATTACTGCTAGATGTATCCAGCATTATATGATAGCCTGAAACTATGGCTGAGGAATCCAATTCAGATTTTTAAGTAAGAAACACAACTGTATTGTAGCCAGGTGCTGACTGAGGCAAAGAGGCAGCTTAAACCTAGGACAATCAATAATTAGGGAGGATAAAGTGATTATAGTAGAGCACAGTAAGAGATGAATTTGAATGAGATGAGCTTCCACGTGCAGATGTGCTCCTGATGTTTGCTTGCTTCCTGTTGTTTAAGAATTGTACTTAAAGACAGCATTTCATATCTGCTTTTTTCTCTTTTTTTTGCTTAACAACAACAGTAATAACAGTAATGCCAGTGGTCTGGCTAAGCAAATATGCTCTTTCCACACAAGAATCACAACTTGTAGAGGAATGGCAGTGGGAAACGAGCTGAATTGCTGTTGCTTTCTGAAATAAATAATGCTGTTCCTTGTATTCAGGTCGAATCCTTGGTTCTGGTGCATTTGGAAAAGTAGTTGAAGGGACTGCATATGGATTGAGTCGCTCTCAACCGGTGATGAAAGTAGCTGTGAAAATGTTGAAACGTAAGTGGTTGTGGTTCCATTTCCCAAGCTAGGTAGGGCACGTTCTCACAGGATTATTCAAACATTGCTTGTGTATAAATTAATTCTTCATATCTGAAGTTGAAAATGAATGATGGAATGACTGAAATTTAAAATTATACTTTAGATTGCTTTATGGCATTTCAAGACTGAAAGTACTCAGGGTTTCAAAAACATCCAAAGTTTGGGTTTAGCTGTATGGACTGCAGCAATCATAATAACTCAGCAAGTGCAGAATGTCTGGGAACAAATGAGAGGTGCATACCAAAGGAGAAATAAGCAAGTCTTGTTTAAGAATCTTAAGTTCACTGAAGAATTCCTGGTTCACAAGAGCTGAAGGAACCATGGGGAGTTTGTATTGAAATGAGCAGCTTGTAGCATGCCTTTGTGCCACCTGGAGAGGGACAAACACTGAGTCAGCTGTTGAGCTGCATCAAGTGAGTCCTTCACTAATCATGTGTGACACCTCTACAAGTCTTAAGACACTAATCAAGTAAAGGACAGTCTTCTCCAAGAAACCATGGAAGCAATGCTGCAGTAAGGCAAGCAAGGAGAAATAGTTTGTTGCTGTGAAAAAGTCATTTGCTCTGACTGAGTGGCTAATGTTTTTTTTCAACAGCTACAGCTAGGTCTAGTGAAAAACAGGCACTCATGTCTGAACTGAAGATAATGACACATCTTGGCCCCCATCTGAATATTGTGAATCTGCTTGGAGCTTGTACCAAATCAGGTGGGTTTGACTGACAAAAGGAGAGTTTGCTATGGGGTCATCATTCACTGTTTAACAAGCACACAAATATCAAGTAATGGATTTAACATTAAATGTAAACAAATATAAGTTTCACAAACCTGCTTGATATTTGGTAATAGTAGATAGAATACTTTTTATGCTTTATATTCTAATTTTTACTATTTTTGGAGCCTTTTTTGCTGGTTTTGTTGTTGGGATTTTTGTATGTTTATATTTGTGGTTTTTTTAAAGGCTTCAGTCATCAATGCATAATTTTGCTTTATTTTATCAGGTCCTATTTACATCATTACTGAATACTGCTTTTATGGTGATTTGGTAAACTACCTGCATAAGAACAGAGACAATTTCCTGAACCGACACCCAGAGAAGCCAAAGAAAGATTTGGATATCTTTGGGATGAACCCAGCTGATGAAAGCACAAGAAGGTGGGGAAAAAAGGGAAAAAATATCACCTGCAACTTAAGGAAATATCATTACTAACCCTTACTCCATTAATCTCATTCATTACTTTAGAGCCCTCCTTAACTTTTCTCGTTAGACTTCTGTTTATCAGGTTTTATAGGTCTAGGAAGGTTCTTATACATTTTGTTCAGTCTCCCTGACACGTGTCCTAGATTCATGTTTTCCTGTATGTAGATGCCTGCGGTCTAAGGACCACTGTGGGTTCTCCATAGACATCCTGACATCCCAAAGAATATTTTTATTGATAAATCACAGCCCAGTGTTCCTTTTATTTTATTTTTTTTTCTGTAAAAAACATCCTTTTGTCTCTACCCACCCAAGTTTTAAAAATAAAGTGCATCCTTGTTTTCCTGCTTGTGGAATTTCCACCGCCTAAAACTTCTTCCCTTCAAACAGCCTGTCAGACCTTGTTCTCCAACCTCAAATACTCTCCTTTATCTGCCAATGGCTTAGCCAGTCTCAATAGTTTCCTTATGGTTAATGTCCATCCCACAGCTTTTTCCAGATGTTAGTTGAGGAAGCTTGTCATCATAAATTCAGCAATAATGCAATGCCATAAAATTAGCTAGAACTGAGAAGGTAAATATAGATTCATTCAAAAAATCACCCAAATAGACAACTGACTAAGTAGCTGAGTACCTCCAGGACTATTCATTGGGGCATGGGTTTTTTCAGCCGGACTGGATTTGATGCAAACTGCCTAGGTGAATAAATTATATGTATCATTTGGAATACCTTGAACTAAAAGCCCTAGATAGTGATACTTGACTTCAGTGGAATTTTGGGAAGTAAGGCAATACATGCTTACAAATCTGACTATTGACAAAGGGCTAAGTTTGAAGTGCTTGTGTTTGACCTCAGTAATACATGGTGACATGTACTAACAAGTGGTAATACATGGTTATGTTATAATATATGATCTTTGTGCATGCTATATCAAGAATCCAGCTTTTCTATTTCACAGCTATACAATTGTACACTATAAAAGAACTGTTAGATATGCAGGATGCTGTGGCAGGGAAGTCACCTGAGGAATACCAGCTAACACACTTGTATTTTTTTCCAATTTCAGTTATGTGATATTATCATTTGAAAACACTGGAGAATACATGGACATGAAACAAGCTGATACCACTCAGTATGTGCCAATGCTGGAAAGGAAGGAGGGATCTAAATACTCTGATATTCAGAGATCTGTGTATGATCGACCTGCTTCATATAAGAAGAAATCCATTTCAGGTAATGTGAGACTGTCCCTTCTGCATACATCACTAATGAAAATGATCCCTGCATAAACACATGCCTTATTTTTGCCCTCTAAATGGACATAAACTACTAAGCTATGTTCTGGAGATGTGCAAGCATATGCTAGAAGATAATAGCTTATGTTTGTGTTCTTTTGTTATGCCCTAGGGATAGGAGTGCATGCTGCTGGACAAGAATGGGTCCAGTTGTGTGTTTGCTTCTCTGCTGAAGCACTGAGTGGTTGTGTTTTGCTGTGGGTGGGGCTGTAGATGCCCTCTGGAGGCAGAGATTTTATCAGTCTTGTAGTTTCCAAGATTTAGAGCAATAGCAGTGATCAACAACAATAGTAATTTATATTGTTCTGTTTCCACTTACATTTCACATTAAGTGACATTTATATTGTTCTGTTTCCACTTACATGTCACTTTAAGTGACACTTACCAAATTCAGAACACTCCCAAATACTTTCCTGGATTATGTAATGAATGCATCCCATTCCCCACCCCTGTTCTCAGAAACCAAATATGCTGTGCTGTAAAAACAGACACCATCACTTCTGCCTCTAGGCCTCAGAAACTGAACCATCTCCAGTCCCAGATTTACATGGCAGACTAATGTACTCACGTTGTGCTCTAGGACAGACAGGGTAAATGAATCACTGAATTTTGACTGGGTTTTTGCTGACATCTTTCATAAAAGAAATAAGAACAGTTGCCATAGAATTCCTAACCCTTTTTGCTGGTATTGGATTAGTCCCAGTGAATTCTTGCTGAGAAACATAACAGTGTTTAGCAAACGTATACAGATAGGAATGTATATGCATGCACAAACACCTAATGAAGGCACCACCACTAAATTAATGTTTTTGTACCACACACTGAGTAAACAACCTGTGTAAACTTCAGTGAGCCTTTTAACTTCGATTTTTCCTATGGTTCCCAAGGGAAAGAAATACAGGAGAAAACCCAAGCTCTTTATCTAACACTGGATGTTTTTAAGAATGCAGCATGTGCCAGTGACTGATGCAGACATTAAAAGTGGTTAGTTATTACAAAAAGACTGTTTTGGTCATGGTACTTTGTAAATTCATCAGCTCAGAATCATGGTAGGTAGAGGAAGATGGATGCTATTTCATACTCCATACCACAAATATATTTTTCTCTCTTTTTTTTCCCAATAGAATCAGAAGTCAAAAAACTTCTTTCAGATGACAGTTCAGAGGGCCTCAGCCTACTGGATTTACTGAGCTTCACCTACCAGGTTGCACGTGGAATGGAATTCTTAGCTTCTAAAAATGTAAGTAAATAAAAAAATACGTAAAATGGAAGAAAGAGTCTGGGTGAAGAGTCCACACAGCCACAGACCAGCACAGTCAGAAGCATAGGCATATCATTAGTACAGGGCTGATAGACTGAGAAAGGGTGGCATCACTTTTGTCATCTCCTCACTGCAATCTATCTGCAAGAGACCTTGCTGGATCTGTGGGCTGGTCCCTCCCTGTCCCTGTTAATAGGGCAATACAGGTGCTCGTTTAGTAGATGGACTGTGCCCAGAAAGTCAACAGATCTTTTTCAGATCTTTGCAATTGAAATGGCCCTCGTGGAATTAGCATGTCCTTGAACAACTCAATTTCTCTCCATACAGTGTGTGCACCGTGACTTGGCGGCTCGTAATGTCCTCCTGGCTCAAGGAAAAATTGTGAAGATCTGTGACTTTGGGCTGGCTAGAGACATCATGCATGATTCCAACTATGTCTCCAAGGGCAGTGTATGTACTTAATCTCCTGAGCTCTGCTTTAACTGGAATGAGAAGTGTCAGTTTTATATACTGTTTCATGTTCTTGCCATTCAGTGTTGGTTACACTAATTGACCATTGGGATGAATGCCCCTCAGAACAATTCTTCTTCAGTTCATTAATTCATGTAACTTTTCTGTTTTAAAGCCAAAAAGTACTTGGCCACATGTAGTATTTCACAGGCTTACATTTCTAACTGGCAAGTTTTGTGACTGGAGAAATTATTAAGGAACTGTCAGTATGATGGAGAGTAGTGACACATCAATTAATAACATATCAGATCTAGTTCAGCAGTGACAGATTTTTGATCATACCTTCAATCAACCTGGCCACTTTCTAGTGCTAAAATGAACAGTTATGGCTTAATTAGTTTTTGTGGGGAGCTACTAGTAGCATTGCCTATAATCCTGGTACCTCTATATCAAATGGAATTAAAAATAAACACTAGCCTGGTTAACACAACTTTACTTATAGAGAGATGTTACTCCTGATTATCAAACAATAATTGCAATGGTAAGCATTTCTTTAATGACTAATCTGTGTGGCTTGGGGTTTCTGCATTTTTTTTTATTACAGACTTTCCTCCCAGTAAAATGGATGGCACCTGAAAGCATTTTTGACAACCTGTACACAACACTAAGTGATGTCTGGTCTTATGGCATTCTGCTGTGGGAAATATTTTCTCTTGGTATGTACTGTGAATATTTTCCTATGTGTAGTCATTAAGTTTTTTCAGTTCAACCCGTTTTACATAAAGTTTTTCAAATTCTACTGTAAAAATGTATGTGTGAAATCCACTATTAGTTTTTCTATCAGTGGTTTCAGATCCCACGTTAAGTATGAAGTTTAATGTCCATACTCTCCCAAAGTTCTCTTTAGGGTTATGGGGTTTGGTTTGATTTTTCTGGGTTTTTTTTTCAAGATATTTTTCCTCCCCCCAGATAACTGAAAGAACTGAGTGAAAATGTTTTGTGGAAAAACATTGGTGTGCCAGGCCAGGATGGATTTTCTGGCTAATATGGGAAGCAACATGTTTTTCCCCCTTGCAGTGGGGCATCTGGGGCTGCAGACCAGCTCAGTGGCTGGTTTGAAACAGCCTCTTTGTATACATTTCAAAAGAGCCTGTCTTAGTCCCATTACAGAATGAAAATAAATGTCAATCTTCTGGGACACTGATTTCTCATTTCCAGGTCAGCACTGTTCACACAGTTGGTTTATGGCACTGTAAAGTGGTTATGACAATATATATAGCAGTTACAGACAATGTACAGCTCCCAGCTGGGAACAGCCTGGCTCTTTCCTCAGCCTCATTAATTAGCCTCCCAGATGGGTGGCTGGCCTGCTTCAGCAAGTGTGCATTGCCCAGATTTACTCTCAGCAGAATTAATCATGCCTGTATGATATCTACTGCTTCCCCACGGCAGCCCTAAGCTGAATGTTATTTTCTAGAATAAGTTGTCACATAGCTGCTTCTCAGAAAACAGCAGTTGCACCACTGTTTATGGTATTGATCACTGTAATCTCTGTGCATCATAGGATCCATTCCCTGGCATCCCTGGGAGGCACAGGAGTGCTGTTGGATAACTCAGGAACTGAGGCACGTTCCTGAGTTATCCTGTACTTCACTGCCCTACCTATAAAGAAGGTTCTGAGGCCCAGTTTTAGATGAAAATCCTGCTTTGGAAAGGGATGAGGTTTCTCAAGTAATACTGTAGTATGCCTCCCCCATCTGAGAAAGCTGTCCTTTCTTGGAAAGCAAAGCATATCCTCAGCAGTGTTTGTTAAGAAGGTCAGCTTTGACATCTTGCTACCATGCTGACTTCAGCTTGAATGACCCTTTTACACATCAGTGACAACTGAGCATGTGTGCAATAATGTCTGTAGGCTGCAACCCCAAATTATCAGTTAATTGTGTCACCTCAAGGGCCAAGTCTTGACAACCCATGCATCTGATATGTTATCTGTTGTCTAAAGCCAGCTGTCCAGGTGGGACAACTTGGGTATGGAGAGTACTGACTCATATCAAGGCTTTGCCCCTACAGCCAGGACAAGGTAACTCAAGCAATGTTGCTCTGAGCTGCCATACAGGTGCTAAAGGCACTTATACCAGACAGAGCAAGTGTCCTAGCTAAGGTCTCACAGAAAGTCAGTGACAGAGTAGAGCCATGTCCTCAGATATGCCAAATGCAGGCAGATGACCTGATCAGGTATAAGCCAACCTCTGTGTCAAATATATTCTATAAACACTGTAAAAGTGCCTTTTTCTATGTGTACCTACTTCAATCTTTCCTAGCCAACATTTCACATTAGGGCTTAATGTCATCAAGACAATAGCTCTGATGTGTAACATTGGCTAGCATAGATTCATTTTGATGTCATGTCAAATTATAGCATTAACACATTCTGACATGAATAGCAAGACAGTATGTGGGAAATCTGCATGAATAGTCAAGTACAAAGCAGTACTTTCCCTTCTCTTTTATCTGCAGGTGGCACACCATATCCTGGCATGATGGTTGATTCTACTTTCTACAATAAGATAAAGAGTGGATACCGAATGGCCAAACCCGATCATGCTACCAATGAAGTGTACGTGTGCATTTGGCTTTTCCATACCTGACCAGTCTCCAGACAATTTTTGCTCTAGTTTCTGTTTGGTTACTCATGTTCCTTTACCTGTTGGTTAAATTAGTTTCCATCTTATCTGCAGGTATGAGATTATGGTGAAGTGCTGGAACAGTGAACCAGAGAAAAGACCTTCTTTCTACCATTTGAGTGAAATTGTGGAGAGCTTGTTGCCTGGAGAGTACAAAAAGGTTTGCTCTTTGTAATTTTCTATGTTTTCTGTATACTGTTTTAGAGGGAATTATAAGGGTTGTTCCATCCATGAGAGCCATGAGCACTGAACTGGTACATCCTAACCCATGTGAATTATGGACATTGCATGTTCACTTTCTTCATTTGAACTTACTGAGAGAAGCAGTTCTGCAGTATTGACAGGGAAGTAGAACTCTCTGTTTCTAATGAATTCCTTCCAACTCTGTTTTTCTGCTTGAGAATTAGTTTTGTATATTTTCACAGGATTTTCTAGTCAGTGAATTAATTCTAAAAAAAGAACTACTTGGCCCATGTGTATAATCTCCCTGCCTCTCTGAACCCTGATACAAGCTAGTTTTTTCCCCTCATACTTCTGATAGGTCTGGACAAGATCTGCCTGCCCCATTGTTCAGTGTTTCATTTTCACATTTACCTTAAATCCCTTCCCCCTCTCCCTACGCTTGTTTCATATCTATTTGTCTGCTTTGTGCTGCCACATTTGCTCCTGCATCATCTAAACTTACAATTGAAGATGCTGGGCTTTCCTATCCAGTGTCGCTGGCTCACAGGGCAGAGTATTTGCTAGGCTAATAAAACTTAGCTGCCCATCTGAAGAAAAGCAGCCTTAGTGAATTGCATCTAATGATAGCATTGAAATTAATATTTGCAGAGCTATGAGAAGATCCACCTGGACTTCCTGAAAAGTGATCACCCAGCTGTCACACGCATGAGAGGAGACTGTGACAATGCTTACATTGGTGTCACCTACAAGAATGAAGACAAGCCAAAGGACAGGGAGAGTGGATTTGATGAGCAGAGGTTGAGTGCTGACAGTGGGTACATCATCCCCCTGCCTGACATTGACCCTGTTTCTGAAGATGAGCTTGGCAAAAGAAACAGACACAGGTAGGTGCAGTTTACAGATGCTGTAGCCCATGGGCACCATCTGGGGTCATGTTTGGCAATGTCCATTAACACTTTTCAGTATCCTACTATGCGAATGGTTTCCTTAGCTCTGTTGAAACTACTTATTTGGAGAGTCCCATGTAAATATGGTTGTATGACTGGCCACAGTGTTTTCAATAGGAAAAACCTAATTTTGCCTGGTTTGTGATTGCCAGGAGAAGGGGTCTGCTGGTAAGGTGCTCCTGTGTGTCTTTGGGACTCCCTTACTAGCTTGGCCAAATCAGAGTGTCTGGCTGATGGCTCTGTGGGTACATTTTGCAACACATCTTGCCTTGGAGCTGCATATGAGTTATCAAAGGATTGATTTCCTGTGTGTGAGAACAATTCCAAAATTTGAGAGAAGTTGCTTTTAGTATATTCTCTGGTATAGTTTTCTATGACAGAGGGTATCCAGAACTTTTTACTTCTGTCCTGACAGTTTGCATGACCACTACGGTGCAACACTGTGTGACCCTAACTGTGAATGGTGGAATTAATGCTGAATTAATTCAGCACTTAATAGTATATATAACTATAAACCTAGAAAATTCATTTTATAAAAAAAATTTTTTTGTGCAATATTCAGGAGGGGAATGAATGAAGTCTCTAAGAAGCACTATCTAGATTAAGATCTATTACCTCTCTCTGTTATTCTTATTGTCAGTTATTGTTATCTTATTTTCACCTGACCTCCCTAGATTTACCTACGTGATCTATTGCCACAACAGTGTCATAAAATTATTTCTCTTAAAGTTTCTGGCTTTAAGTGTTTGGAGGAACATATGAATAACCTGGTCCTTTGAATTCCAAGGCAATTCACCACTTTTGAGATACAAGATCTGTCATGTGCTAAGAAATAGGTGGTCAGAGTCACGTAAGATTGTGCTGTAGGTCAGAAGGGATGTGGGGAGGTAGTGGTCAGTTCTGCTAGAGACTGGAGTACTTACCCAGCCACATTCACCATGTATCTTATCTCTGGGATATATGTGTCTTCCAGTTCACAGACATCTGAAGAAAGTGCCATTGAAACTGGTTCCAGTAGTTCTACCTTCATCAAGAGAGAGGATGAGACCATTGAGGACATTGACATGATGGATGACATTGGGATTGACTCCTCAGACCTGGTGGAGGACAGCTTCCTGTAACCCCATGGACACCTTCCAGCTTTGCACACGGGGAAGCTTGTTGTGTCATCTACAGACTTCTGCTCCACAGAAAACCACTCTATTGCAATGTCCAGGATGTGAAGAGCAGGTGGATTTGTACAGAGGAACTCCCAGCAATGGGCAGAGGAATTAGCCTGAGTATGAATGAAAGAGACATGTTGAAGATGATTTTTTTTAGTGTTGCTTCTTGCAGTACTTCAGTAGCATCTCAGCGTTGTTTGCCATTCGAGCTGGTAGGAGGACAAAGGAAAAGGCCACAAACAGACCAGTTTTGTGTTTCAAGGGCATTCATATGACTTTGATGGATAGAATTTCCACTGCAGCAATGCTTTGTCATTGCAATTATGTAAATAACTGTCTACTCAAGGATCTTTTGAGGTGCACACTGAACATGTGCCATGGATTTTAGAAGAGATCACTCATGAATTTTTGTGTACTTCCTCCCTCAATCTCAGTGTCAGCTGCTGTTGAACTATCATGTGAATTGAAGAACATGCAAAAACCACTTTTGGACCAAAAAAGGTCTAATATCACAAGGGACTGACTGGTACTATAAAACATGTTACTTTTTACCATTAATGCAAGTAAAGGGGAATAATAATAATGATAATAATAATAATAATAATTAAAAATCAGTCTATAATAGGTGTTAGAAACCTAGTAAGTCTTTATTAACTATAGAAGGTAGCTGTTTTCAAGATAATACTACTACTGTTTTCAGTAACACTAAATGTATATTTTACAATTCATTGTCCTTCAGTAAAAGCACAGTCTCAAAAAACTTCTTTAAGTGCAGGAGAAGAAATTATGAGCTGAAAATGTTTATGAAACAATTTTTTTTGATCTACACAGTATGGTAATTGTTCTGGATAGTTAAAAGTACTTTAACATGGAAAAAAAAAATAAGATTTTGTTTTCTTTTGTGAGCTGAGTAGCTTTTCCTATCGTATACACTGGAAGCAATTAATTATCTTCTGATTAGATTCTAAAAATTTAAATTTAAAAAATTACAATTTATGCCAGATTTCCAAGATTTGGAGAATGGAAAATTATAATAAACCACCAGCAACATCCCATAATTAGTGTTTCATGGGTACTCAAAAAAAATCTTATCCTGGGTTTAGCTGTGAAGAATTGATTTGATATTTGAACTGCTGAAGAAACAAAGACATCTCTCCCATCCTGGAACTCAAGTTTAAGTCAGCAGAAATTCTACAGCAAATATTCTTGTCCTAGTTTTCAGGTTTAAACAGGAACAGAAAACTCTATTATAATCTTTGCAGACGGTAACTACAAAAGGTAATTGCTTCAAGAGTGCTTTTTGCAAGATGGTGAAGAAAATGAACCTGCTCTCAGCCTCCAATTGACATTTTTTGATACCACTTATATGAACAAAGTAATATGATTACTGCTTTCATTTTACAATGTGTTATTGAGATATGATGCTTTGGAAGACTTACATGTGAAAACAAAGGTACATCACTGCAAAAGGCCCCAACCTTTCTGGTGCTCAGCTTTCAAACTTCACCTTAATTCAGTGCTGTGAGTGCCTCGCAGGATGTGCTCAGCCTCTGTTGTGACATAACCAATGCAAATGTGGTGCAAACTCATTCCTGCGTTGCAGTATTTTCCTAGGAAGTGTGAAAGACGGACCACCAGTGACCGACAGAACATGCTGCCATATTAAACTACAGTTTAACTTCAAATGGCCCTACGAAAAGCTACACAACTCCCCTTGACTTCACTTGTTGTGGACAGTTGTGGATCAAATGAAAGCAAATGTAATATTGCCAATATTTTGGCAATAATTCTAGGTCTGGGTTACAAACTGTCACCTGGCTGAGGCCATGTACAAGCACAGCAGATGTGAAAACAGGACCTGAAGCAAGCCCCCCATTTTCAACCCTGATGTGAGCTGACAATCAGAAGGAACCATGAATGATGGCACAGTCTCTATTTCTTGCATTCAACAGATGAAGACCGAGTGTCTTCCTGGGAGCCATGCTTTAGCCAAACACCTGTCACTGAGCTCTGTATGGGGACAACTGTGAAACATAGACTCTTGATATAGCCAGGACAGATGAGACGATGTAAAGTCTCTCCAGTTGCAAACTATGAATGGAGGAAACACAAATTGTCTATGGATAATCCCAGATATCTGAATGGCCACTTGAGACCATATCTGCCTTAATTTGCATGTGCAGTCATTACAGCTGCACATTCAAATTAGGCAAGCAATTTCACCTGCATTTTTGCACATGGCCTAGTATTCTTCAGGGTTTGAAAATCAGTCCCAGCACATTTTATTGTATCAGTTACTGGAATCTAAGGACATTTCCATGCAGTCCCTCTTTCCCCTCACTGATTTCACTCTGTATCTCACAGAACATCTCAGGGCTAGACCCAAATGATGGATGTGAACCAGAGCTGGCTCACTTTCCAATCCATGGCAATGTTAATTCTCCATTTGACAATCAGAAGGAACCATGAATGATGGCACAGTCTCTATTTCTTGCATTCAACAGATGAAGACCGAGTGTCTTCCTGGGAGCCATGCTTTAGCCAAACACCTGTCACTGAGCTCTGTATGGGGACAACTGTGAAACATAGACTCTTGATATAGCCAGGACAGATGAGACGATGTAAAGTCTCTCCAGTTGCAAACTATGAATGGAGGAAACACAAATTGTCTATGGATAATCCCAGATATCTGAATGGCCACTTGAGACCATATCTGCCTTAATTTGCATGTGCAGTCATTACAGCTGCACATTCAAATTAGGCAAGCAATTTCACCTGCATTTTTGCACATGGCCTAGTATTCTTCAGGGTTTGAAAATCAGTCCCAGCACATTTTATTGTATCAGTTACTGGAATCTAAGGACATTTCCATGCAGTCCCTCTTTCCCCTCACTGATTTCACTCTGTATCTCACAGAACATCTCAGGGCTAGACCCAAATGATGGATGTGAACCAGAGCTGGCTCACTTTCCAATCCATGGCAATGTTAATTGTCATGAGTATTGTGCAGATGAACTGCATCCATGGTAGGGATCTAGCCAAACTCAGCTCACTTCAGGCTTGCAATCAGATAAGCTGGCCTGGAAACTGAAATGAGAAGCAAAGGAAGAGAGTGGATTTACTAGAGAGGGAGAAGTATGAGAAGGTGAATTGTTTAGTTTTACAATATTATCAGTATTACAGACTTTTATGGCTTAATTTTTGAGAAGCCACTGGAAGAGATATTCCCAAACCTTTTGCTACAGTAATTGTATGATGACAATCAGTGTTAGCCTATGAAACACAGCTTTTGATTTGGATGGCCAACCAATTCCTTACAGCGTGGTCTGCAACTTGTACAAAATGGTCCTATTAAATGATGAAGGACGTGAGATATGGTGATGTTATACATCAATATGTATATAAGTATTTTTATATAGACTTTTAGAATACTGCCAAAACATTTATGACAGCTATATCACTGCCTTTGTTTATTTTTTTTTTACTGTGATATATTCCACAGGCACGTTAACTGTTGCACTTTGAATGTCCAAAAGTTATATTTTAGAATAATAAAAAAGGAAGTGTTTCCAAAATGATGGCTGTTGTGAAATGTTTGAAGAAGGGCAAACTGGCCTGAATGATGGTAGGCACAAAATGTATTTCAAAAATGCCCCTGTTGATATTTTGTCTTTGAAAAAACCTGTAAATTAAGATCTCTATATTTCAATAAATGATATATAATTTAAGGATATGTGAGGGGTCTATACTCACTTATTGAAAGGTGGTTATAAAGAATCAGTCAAGCTCGGGAGTTTTTTTCCCTCAAGAGGTTTTTGGTTAATTGAGTTCTCTGCAAAGCCATCAGGCAGCAATGTCAAGCTGCTCTCTGAGTCCTTCCAGTGGGCATAGTGGGAAAGCGCTGGTGGCATATGGCCTGGATAGCAAGTGACATCTGTAGGGACCCATGTCATCTCCCAAAACACAGCAGGTGTGATGCTCCATCGACTGCTGCCTGGAGCAGAGCATGTGCCCTGAGGTGGGCATTGGGCTCCCTGGGCAAGATGAAAACCTTGGCCTTGGCACCATATGTGCTGGGGGGTTCAATGCCTGCTGCTCTGCACACACTCAGGAGAGGACTCTGGCTGCAGGAGGTTTTAAGCCTATGTTGGTCTTGCCTCCTTTGTTAAACCAGATTTGTCCCATGGTTCTGTGCTCTCTTACTAATTAATTTATCCACAAAGTGAATATAATTGAATGCGAATTTGAGAAGATTTGCGAGATTTCAGTCTGAAATCAAAGTTAAACTTCCTGCAGTGGCTGCACTTCCTGCACAGAAGGCTATCTTGGTTTGCCAGCAGGAGTCAGGCAAGGCTGGCTGAACAGAAAGGTCAGCAACTTTCTGTCCATGGGGTGGTCATTGTTCTTAAAGCATCCTGGAAGATGAACTCTTCATCTAACATCTCCCTCTCCTTCACCACTTCCTCACAAAGCAAAAATACTCCTACTCATTCAAATGGGGTGGAGCATCCTGGGCCCTTGCCTTAAATAAGAGTTAGGGTAGGTTGTCTCTCCTTTGTGTTCTTGCTGAAGAGGAGTCTTTATCACATAATACTGCATGGACACATAACACTTCCTGCCAGGGGGTTG